CACCCGACACAGCCAACGAGTAAGGGTTGTCACGTAAACAGAACATGCCAATTCGTCACTAGTAACAGCACTAACCGGTGTGTTGGAGAGCTTGCTGTGGCTTGGCTCTACTAGTAACGAATTGGAATGTTCTGTTTACGTGACAAACCTTACTAATTGGCTGTGTCGGGTGGTGGCGGGTTTAACGGCACATATATATATTTAAGCGATCTAACCCCAAATAAACTCTGTTATGGATGATATTGGTCACGAAAGTCTACGTGTTAAACTTTCCATATGTGACCTTCATCTGAAAAATAGTTTTCACACATCCCATCAGCTACACGGTCTTCTGTGAGTGCACAATTTAATCGGCATTGGTTCGACTCAACTTTTACGCAAGCAAACTGTGGACCCGTTTAGTTTCCACAGCGACGCTCATGATTATGTTGTGTTGTGCCCGATACGATGGGTCACACGTGCGTTCTCTAATGTAGATATATATATATAGGCTATACCATAACATACCCATGGGAGTCGTGAATAATATAAGTAACCAAATAAATAAGCAGACACTGTCTCATTCACGTGTTTGTCTCACCACGGAAAATTATATATATATTACGCCCAGCTCATCGGTCGTATGGTCTTCTGCATGGGAATGCATAATCCCAGCAGCATTGATTTAGCACAAGCAAACCCGTGGACCGGTTCGAAATCGTGCAGAGTCTCATCAGCAAAGTCAGGCTTGCACGAATGCATCAATTGCCGGTGTACCAGCTGCCAGGATGTAATAGGCAATCTCTCTTTTTCAGCATATATACGTGTAGGCTGCGCACGTGTCACACACATTTAAAAGCACGACCTCTCGCCACCGTAACTCGCTGAGAGCGTGCACGCCGCGCGCGCGAGCCTCCGCTACCCGGGCGCTCACGCTGTCTTGACCCCGTGGGTCACGTTCGGACAAAATCCTCATCAAAGCGTGACACGCATTGTCAGGGCGTCCGCTAGGACGCGACAAAGCGTCGGGAAGTGCGCGGATTAACCTTTCACACACTCTCACCATGCGGGTCACTCGTGGTGAGACGCAAGTGATTTTTTTTTGTGCGCCGCCGAAGAGTGGACAAAGCCGCGAGTGGGGAGACACAGGATCACACAGAGGTCACTCGCAAATATCTGTGCGACATATCGAGCGGGCGGGAAACGGAGTGGCAGCAATGCAATGGGACGCGTAGGACAGGACGGCCCTCGAGATGCGATGGAGCGATGGAACTAGTTCACGTGCAGGTGCTGTAGAATGAGTACAGATGGATGGTCACATGGCAGGATCGTGAGATGTGGAGGGTGGCGGTGGCGGCTTGTGGAAGACCATCATCTTGAAGTGGATTGACCATGGCTGATTACGCTATAATGTTGAGAGGGGGCACGGAATGGTGTTAGGTCGGTGATACGCACGCTACACCACGTATAACATATGAACTCGGCGGCCTGGGTTCGATTCATGGCTGGCATCAGTGACGATGGCTCATCAATCCGGTCTCACGAACATTAACGTCGCCCTTCTTTGCTCACTTAATTGCACTTTTGGACCTTCGTCAACCCTAAAGGTCGTGTCGGTCTTGAGGGATGCTTGACCATACTTCACCACGTTGGTCAGTGTGGACAAATCGTGGACATCACGCCACTCCGATGTTACCCATGGCTGTGACCCAAACTCGAGTGGACAGGATCACAGCGGAGTTCGCTAATCACGCCGCCACCGCTGAACTCCATTTCCAAAGTGACATGGACGTGAAAGGAGGAATTATTTGGGGCGTCAAATTATATAATTGATAAAGGGTTGTAAATTATTAATGTTATTGTTAAAATGTATCACGTGGACGTTTCCAGATCGTTTTTCTCATGACATCTATAATATTGAAATTTAATCTTATAGTTATAAACACAGCACTGCTGTCTGTCCATAGAACTTCAACCAGCTGTAGTTGGACAATGGGCGATGAGGATTACAGTAAAACCCCGGCTAGCACCAAATTGGTGGCTGGGGGTTACATTTAGCTGCATGAGGTCGGAAAATAAAAAAAAGCATTTAAAATGTGAATTAAATGCGCAATATTGTAAACGTCGTTGAATAATACTATATATAAATTTTATACAATGCGTAACCGATTATATATAATAAGCATGCACTAGAACTGGAACATGTTGTGTGTGATTTATAAAATAGTGATAGTGTCATAATTGTATTTACTGAAATACGTTGGTGGTGATATCATATAGAGTAGAGTACATGATAGATGTGTTATTTCAAAGTACATCTGTTACTTTGGTTGGCATTAACGTCGTCTTCAGTGTTCATCAGGCTTCCTATGGTAAAACACGTATTATCTAAAGTAGAGACTCAGCTTCCTTTGCCATAGCAAAGTAACTTGAGCAACTCAACTACAAAGACACGTAAACTGCATACCTACAGTGTTAGACGTCTCCGGTTAAATGCATGTGGCCATTGCATACATATGGTATTTGAAGCAACATATCTTCCTTGATATGAATGTCATATATGCTTTACTGTTATCAATAACGGGCTTTGGATTAATTCACGTGTTAACACGTAGATTCAGATATTAAAACGTAACAAAGTTGTAAGATGGCAGAGTTGAACTTTCTCATTGTGTCTACATCCTGTGTGTGATATGAGTGTTCTGCGAAGTAAATTTTGCATTAAAACGCATCGCTTCCTGTGAATAGTAAACCTCACGAGACGGGAATTTGCCCTGAGCGACTGCATTTTTTTTCTCTTTGTGACTTATACAGAAAATAATTATTGACATTTCTTTGTCAATACACTGTTGGATCAACACCTGCCTCCTGCCCCCCAAGCACGCCGCGCTAGCCACGGGGATTGTTGAGTATAGTTCACCACGGTGGGTTGGCGAAGTGGTGGAGGATGCCGATATTTGGAACGGCTTCCAACGTCGCTCACCTCTGATGTTCGTCGTGAATCAAACTTAATAGCAGGGTTCATACTGCCCTAACCACTGCGCCACCACTGCACCTGATGTTTTATATATATATCAGTATTGCATGCATTATATGCAATATACATCATGTGCATGATTGTTCAAACATAGGGTATAGTTAAGTAAACTACATACAGAACTGTCAAATTAAATGACGTCACATATGATTATTGGATCTCTCGTGAAATCTTTATAACCAACGTATAAGCTAAGCAGTCTCATACGCAGGAATTCAGGTCAGTCGGGACGGTGAACATGTAAATATATCTGCATCCGGCACACCTCACCCAGGATACTTCTCGCTATGGCTGTGGCTACTCGTCACGTGCCAGCGATGTAATAATCCACCTAAACAGAGCACCTTCAGCGAGACATGAATCCCTGCAAATTATAGGTTTGTGGTGGTAATTGTCGCCGCTCGTGTAAACTGCACTCTTCTAAAGACCCGAGTGCTATTACATCTACGCAGTGTAGCTGTTCCGTGTACAAATTCACCATTCTGACTTCTGAAGGCTTCAATACTGGGTGGGCAAATTAACCCCAGATTGAATTTCAAGAAAGGAACTGATCTCAAAAGAAAGCCCGTTGAAAAGTGTAAAGCAATACAGTTTGTATACACTAGCAAAGTTCATAGATGTCCATTTGTAAACCTGATCATTCTACATTGGCCCTATGTATAGGCACCTGAGTTGATAAAGGAATCTCATTTTCGGTATCAGTAAGAAGAAAAAAGAGCAACACATTAGAAACTAATATGGGCAACGTTCCTCTAGAAATAGCGCACGATCCTTTGCCGATCCACTGGCGAATGAAGACGTCCCCAGGCCCATATTGATCGTGGAGGTTGTTTGACCATACTTCATCACGACTGTCATCGTGAACCGGTTCAGATATCGCTTGCCACTGATTCCGCCCAGATGCGGCCCGGGGCAATCGAATTCAGGTCATAGCGAAGCGCGCTAACCACTGCGCCACGGCTCCACCGCAAGGTTGATTTACGAGCTATGAACACATCTGTCACCATCATCAATTGCTTATATAAAATGCGTATGGAACGCCTACCCAATGCAGAATTTGTCAAAAAAATGTAAAACTTAGAAATATGGTGATGTAGACATCATGTAATTTCTCATGGTATATTTTCCGGGGCTACCCACAATCCGTCCAACCCCTCCTTTATATTTCCGCGCGTCGCTCCTATTCATATTCTCCTCTGGTATTTTATTTTTCCGGAGCGAAATTCCGGAACCCGGGAATCCCATTGCGTTTGTAACCCTGCGGTTATAGGGACAAAACCTCGTAATACAGAGTGCATGCAATTAATACGAAACACCACTAATTAAATTTCGATTTAAAGCTTTCGTGACTGCAGGGATTCATCTTCTTGGTTCTTTCGGTAAAGTCACGCAGAAGGGGAAAAAAAACTTAATAAAGACATTATATTAGGTTTATACGTGAACCAAGAAGATGCACCGCTCATTAGTTAATCGCTACCTACTGGCCAAAAATGAATGCGCGAATGTAAAAAGTATTTAAACATTATTAAAATTACAGTATGAAAATATGACAATTTTCATAAAATTATGGAAATTATATGAATTAAATAATGCTTACGTACTGTTATTTAAATAGTTAAATGTTATTTGAATAATACTTGAATTCGTGCAACAATATTATAATTATAATATTTCAGCCTAAAAATTTCCCTTTAAAACGTGACCTGTGCGCCACTGACGGTGCAAAGCACGTGGTGGACACTGGGGCCTGTTACCGTAATCCCCCGATTGCGAGACACTACGGGAAATAAAACAAGACGCAATTCCCCACTCGTGTGCCTGGTTGTCAATAGATTATTTTTCCCTTTATTTTACAAACTTTATCTCACACATACACACACACTCAGCACACGAACCGCATTATAAGCCGCACTGTTAGCGTTAACTTTAACACACAAATGCAAGTTCTGTGCGAGCACCTCTCGTGATCCAGAGAATACGGCCACAAGCGGCGAGTCGCCCGCCACGACCGCGCTCCGTGCCGAGTTCACTTATTATTTTGCCCTTTTTAGTTGCGTTTTAAATGCTCGCAGCGAGCAAAGCAAGACGATTTATAATCGATTAGGGACGAGGCAAATCGTCATGAGTGCCGTCGTGCGCCGTTCGCTGTTCGACGCGCGTCGTCTCTATCGCCGACATCTCCGAGGCCTAGGTGAGTGGCGCCGCAGTCCGGCGGGGGTCGGGGCGCCTTTCCCGGCAGCGGCTTCTAGTCGAGGGTCGGTGCGGGCGGCAACCGAGTTCGGAGCGAGGGAAAAGTGACTTACTTTTCGCGCGGGAGTTGCGTTAAACGACGCACTTTATGCAGTGAGGCGAGTCGTATATAAACGTGCCGTCGCGTGTGTAAGGTTTAGCTTTAGTGCGCAGTGGTTGCATGTTGTAATATTGTATTGTGATGTCGCAGGATCGGGCGAGAGTTTGCGGGTTCGGAAGGAATTCATCCAGCAGTGGATTTACCACGTCCGCTGAATTATTCTACATTTTATGGTGGTTCAAGCAATGCACTGCTACGAACCCTGCGACCTCAGTTCGATTCCCGGCCTCGGATAACAACTTGTCAAGCTGCATGGGAAGTTTTACCCTGGGTTCTCCTCTAGGTCAACTCAGCCTTAAATAAGTATCTGGCGCGGTGTGAAGTAAACGTTGACACAGGGGAGACAAAGGCGGCCGGGTGTGTGGGGTGTGCTCGTCCCATAGCTAGGTGCTCACGAACATCACTGTCGTATTTTGTGGGGTTTGTGTACGGAGTGCGAGTATGTCGACACTTGGGCACATGCAGAAGGCAATGCAACAACATTTATTGTTGTATTGCACTTCAATGTGCCCACGTCTATGCTCCGCACACATGTCCAACGTGGTGAAATATGCACCGACCAACGTGGTGAAATGTGGTCGAATAACCCTCACGGTGTGGAGAGGGCCTCATCCAGCAGTGGATCAACATAGGGCTGTGACATTTAAATGGATTACCCTCAACAATACTTGGTCTTGAGCTAATGCTTTGTCAAACTCGCTGAGATAGCAAACTAAGTCGTCGTTTTCTGTGTATCATTCTTTACGGCGACAATGCGTTTTGTTTATTTACGACGATACATTGAAACTATTAACACTCTACTGCATTGATTACAATGATAAAAAAAAATTGAGATGGTAGCATCAATGAATTTAACAAGTAGCTAAGATAAGATTTACACATGTGTGGTGTTATATTTGTGGGTCCAATTATATTCGAGGTTTTTCCCCTTACGTTTTACTCTTATCCGTGTGTGGATAAAACGCGCGTCTCCACTTGCCACGTGTTTATAATGGAATGATTGACAGACTGCTTAACACCCGTGCAAAAGCGCGGATAATTGGATCAATGTGCCAGTAAATTCCAGATTACGAGGTTATGTGCGCAAAATCGCGACTGATTTAATTCTCCGCTACTTCTCGCTTACTTTTGTTTTCTGCTCTACATGGCAGATAATAGAATGGATAATGTTACTTCCACGATACCAATTCTAGGGCGATTTGGGAGTTGCAGATAGAGTAGAAACAGTGGGCAAGAGTAGGCACATGAGAGGAGATTTCTCCGTATAACTATGCAAGACACGACAATGCTGTCCAACTGCATTTGATTGAATAATAATAGTACATCTTTTTCAGCAAAGCCTCAGAAAAAATTTGACTTAAAACTTTCGTGACTGCAGGAATTCATATTCTTTGGTTCTTTCGGTAAAGTCACGTCGATATAAAATAACCAAATAGAAATAATACAATTTTTTTTTTATAAACAAACAAAAAACGCACGACGTTTCGATCGCAACACAAGCGGTCGTCATTAGGCGGAGAAAAATATTTTTCTATCTACGTGACTTTACCGAAAGTATCAAAGAATATGAAAGCCTCAGTACTTTTGTTTTCTAAATAGTGTTGCACTTGTATGTTTTATCATTCCATAAATACGTTTTTTTATTCCATTGATGAGTGTTTTTAATTACTCTCTGTATGTGAGTTTAATATGATCTACTTTATGGCCGTGTAGTTGGCTTGCCGATGTCGTATCGTGTACGCTGCCTGCGATAGAAGAAGAATCACTGCTTTTAGTTTCTCCCTGCTGTAATTTGAACTGCTTCAAGCTAATGTTTCCAAAGCCTTGGGCGAACAGCTTCCAACTGTGGATTAATCACCAGATTAGGGATGGCTCTGTTTTGCTGTTTGCACTTTTTGAAAAGGATTAAGAGGCCACTGGCTTCAAGGCATTAGGCACTAGAAAATTACTGCTTTCGCCACAAGCTAATGCCTGTTTATAGTTTAATTGCCTGATAATGATTTCCTACTAGAACTAAGAATGTTTTTTTCGCCAGATTGGCTGTTTGCTCGACACAGCTCAGTATTTATCAATGTGCTAAAATGTTTGGGAATATGTTATTATTTGTATGGTTTTAATTAGCAGTTCAACGTGCAAATAAGTCCCCAAACTTTAACTCCTTTTTACATTCTTGTTTTTGTTAAATAAACGGATTCATTCTCAACGTTCTTTTCTGCAAATTACACGTATTGTAATATGCTTTGCTTCGTAGTTGCTAATGCATGTTATTTTAAATGCAGTATATGGGCTTTATTTTCTAACCTGAATTGGTTAATATAGAGTAATAGTCCCCCCCCCTCCCTCCAGATCCACAGCTTAGAAGTGAGGGCTTGCGGCTAATTTAATGGTACATGTTAAATGAAGGGACGAAGGACCCCTGCCAATTTCTTTCTTGGGATTTTGAAGGCCAGGTCCTTGGACATCACAAAAGCACGACACCATTAAGACTGAACACACACGGGGACACCAACCGGGCTGCAGACAGGGTCCTTTTAGAGGAACATTCTCTGCAAAAGCACCAGCACAAGCACCTATGGACAAAGGCTCCCCCCCCCCCCCCCTGTTTTAAACAAAGGCAATTCTTGACACGGCTAAGCGCTCAAATGATGTGAACAAAAAAAAAACCCACACTTTTTGTGGATCTTTTCCACACTTTGCACGAATTAAAGAACTTAATGGGGTTTTTATGCCGTCCCACTTCCTGCCTCATTAACGCACAATACCTCACCTGGCGTCGAGTTGATTTGTCCTCTGTGGCCCCCTTTTTTTGAAATGTAGCCTGGGTTGGGACTGAGAGAATGAACTGAGCGGAGAGGCTGTTGTTTTGTGAGCACTGCTAATTGTTGATTGGCAGCCCATTGTATTTGCTGGTCCATTTCAGTGGCCTATACAATTTATTAACAAAACCCCATTAAGGATTAATATTACTACAAATCGACGGATATCAATGATAAAGTGTTTGCACAATATATATTTAGATGTAATAAAACAAAAATTGTAAGCAAGCAATGTATTAAAAACAATACCAAGCTTCGTGCCTCATTATTTTAAAATAGCCAATACAGTACACGTTTCCATCATGCATAGTTACATACATACATGCAGTGTAACAATGAAACCACGAACATTGCCCTCCGCATCCAACCACAACTGGTGAAGCTTGGTAACGCACCTCACCGGGGCCTCTCGTCTCCGGCTAATAAAGTGAAGGAATTGTCAGCTCTTACGGCCACCGAAGTGCTGGTGTCGAATGCTGGCGGCCACGTTCATCTCACAAGCGGTCCCACCCTCCATTCACCGCGCCGGCTGCCGGGCACGGTAATTCCCCCCCCCCCCCTCCCAAATTAATAGTCACCTGCAGCTGAGCGGGCCGACTGAGCCTCTGAGTGACGCTCAGAATTAGGGCTGCACCCTGGGGTCGTGAGATCGTCGCCACACAATCCGAGCTCTGTCAATCTCCACGATCCTTTAATAGAAGCGGGAGCGGTATTCATGGGGGTGACGGCGACGGCCTTAGGTTTTGAGCGTCGTTTGCATTCCTCGCTGCCTGCAAAATTAAACTCTTCCTTTTGAGCCCACCCGTAATTACCGACTTTCTTACTGATGCTTTGTTGAATCGTAATTATAGGAATTTTAATTTAAAATTCCAAAGATGTGTTTTTTTTATATATTGTCAGTTTTTAAACCATGTTCCGTTTCAATGAAGGATAAACTCTGAACCCTGTAATGGGATCATGAAGTAAATGTACATGCATGCTTCATCATGTTTTTGTAAATCGCACGTTATATTTTAGAAATATACACTTACAAAAAAATATTGTTCTAGCTCATATGATACATTTATAAATTATAACGGTAGCCTCCTGAACAGCACGACTTACGCAAAAACAACAACTTTTTTTACTGCACAATGTAAACACAAGGCAGTACTCATTCCGGCACCTTCCCCAGCGATTCAATGAAGTGTCACATTTCAGGGTTACAACTCAGTTGTGAAATGTATGATGTTTTATTTTACATCATGTCCTTTGTATTTATTCCTCTTTTGATCTATTTCAATTAAATAATTTTCTTCACTCCATTAGTGCAAATGTAATAGCATCATTTACATAATTGCACACGTGATATAAATTGTTAATCATCTAGTTTCTCAAGCGCAATTATATGCGCGTGTTGTGAGTACGAGGATCATTTGCAATCCATGAATCCTCTTTCATTGCTTGTTGAGCTAAAACAATCGATTATAGATTTTGCACGTGAAAATTAAGTTGCAATAATCTTAACGTTGTACCACATGACGTTATAGGTCTTTTGGAAACGCGGAAGGACGTCGAGAGATTTTCATCCACTCATCCAGAGAGTGGCGTGGAGGTGACGCCGATGCTGAAGCATTTGGTGTCTAAAATCAAGGCCACTGGACCCATATCGACAGCGGAATACATGCGAGAGGTTCTGACCAACCCCGCAAAGGCAGGTCACGCGGTGTTTTTTTATATAACCGTCACGAGAGCATATTTGATTTGTACATGAAATCCACAGCATTCTTGTCTGTCAGAACCAAAATCTCAATGTTTCAGCAGATGTAAAAATATCAGCCAAGTCAGCCGAAACTTCAAATTCTTGTTTTCTTAGCGTCCGTGACACGCGTTATTATTTTTTTAATTAACCTGCCTGTTTTTTACAAGCTCATTGAAGGAGAAAGTTTATAATTTAATTATTACTCGAATTTTTATTCTGAAAACACGTGTGTGCTTTTTTCCATTTACTGATGAAGGCAAGCGTTGTGTACACGTCTAGGTGCAGTAGGTACACTTTGCACAGGTGTTGTGAATTGTTTTGGGTGCAGAGCACAGCGGATTACACCACGTTTTCTTGTATGTGATGATATGATTCGAATTCTTTTGCAGGGATACTATATCCACCACGACATGCTTGGAGAGCGTGGCGATTTTGTTACATCCCCAGAGATCAGCCAGATATTTGGAGAGGTACACAAGCGTCTTGTGTTTTCCACAACTACATTTAATGAACACTTTGCTGTAGCTAAGCTTCGTATGATACACAAGTGGGCAGCCCCGTCCTATTGATGGGGTGATATGAAACTCACGTGAAACTTATTTGGCTTCGCCCAATCCCACATGCCTATCTGTTGTATGATTTTGACACTTGACTTGCCTTACTATGCATTGAGATGTAAATACCAGAAGGGATAAACAATGCCGGTTAAAATGTCTTTTTTTCTCTTGAGAATGTCATTGTCCGTTCAATAAACTAAACATCGTAAGCTTGCAAGTAAAATTTCTTTCTTTTAAATTTTATTGAGCAGTTTCGGAGAAGCTCCTTTTGACAAAGATGCAGATTGTCCACTCGTCATGGAGATGGGCCACGGTCAGCAATGATGTGTGGTTGTGGATCTTCTTTTTGTCATCCGTTGGGCCTCAGCTGGTGGCAGTGTGGTGCGTGAGCGAGTGGGTGGCTGCTGGGAAGCCCCCTTCTCTTCGTCTGGTGGAGCTGGGCCCAGGACGTGGCAGCCTGGCCAGTGATGTGCTCCGGGTTTGTCCTCCCCTTTAAACCAGTTCCCGCATCTCCGATTAGCACAGTTATCTATGTATGGTGCGAAAGAAGTTCAACATACATGCAAATGCACATCACAATCCTCATCAACAAAATAAAATACACCACCTAATGTTATTTCACCCAAGACTGCGGTAACATAGGTTAGTGTTGAAAAATAAGGGTGAAATATATTGGTTTTCAAAAATGTTTGAATTTATTACACCATTGAAAGACACACACACACAGATTCTAACAATGAGTTCCATTAATCAAAAGCTTTGTGATTTTTCCATATATATATGGGTCTTTGTGAGTCCAAGGGTCTATGTGAGGTTGATGGTCTTTATGTTAATCACTGGGTCTATATGCGAGTCTACGGTTTTCTACAAAAATCTTTGTCGTTGATTCTTAAATTCCCCGCAGTGTGAACAAGAATCCTCCACATCCGTTCTCTGCTCTTTCTAGGTGGTCGAGCAGTTGAGGCAAGTTCTGGACAAAACGGAGGTGACTCTGCACTTGGTGGAAGTGAGCTCCACATTGAGCGAGGTGCAAGAGCAGGTGCTCATCGGCACGACGCAAGAGCAGCAGTCGAACCTGGATTCCCACGCGCAAGCGGAATCTTCCACCTACAAACAACGCGTAACGAGGAGTGGAATTCCAGTCTGCTGGCATCGGAATCTGCAAGATGTGCCAGAAGGTCAACCGTGCCAAATTCATTTAATGTTTCAACAAAGAAAACCAAAGACGCTATTTTTTATTAATATCAACAATCTTACGTAACAGCTTTAAGTAATAACGTTTATTTGACGTGATGTCATTTTTTTTATAGGCTTCACTTTCTTTGTGGCACATGAATTCTTTGATGCGTTGCCCATCCATACGTTCAAGGTTAGTGCGCTTTTGTTTTAGTGTTTTTATGGCTGTGGATCGCTCGTGAAAATGTGCTTAATCGGTTCTGTTGTACGACCTGATTTCCATTACGAGAACCACAATGTAAATAAATAATGCTTGAGTTGCACACTGTACACCACATCAGGAGAAACCACCCGTGACTTAATTTCATACGGCCTTTGGCCACATCATGGGGCCAGTCACTTCGAATCGGCCTGCAAATGATATCTGTCCCTTGCTGAAAGCATATCGGCCACATTAATCAGATACCAGAGGGGAAGGTGTGTGACCTGCCATTGCTTTCTAGTTTTAAATTGCGTTGTCACCTGTTATGATTCAAAGTTCTGAGCACCGCAGTCAATACATGCAGACCTAACTGATTAATGCATAGAGTGCTAAGTTTAGTTAATGGATACAGTCTAAAGTTTAGTATTGACTAATGTGTGGCCCACAAAAAGCTATTTGAAAATCCTATTGGGCAGCTCCAGAATGAAACGTTTCTGTACCTCTGCCCGACACGAGTTGTAAACCTGTGCTTTGTTACTTTTAGCCAGTAATGGGGGAAAAAAACGACCTAAAAGCGGTGTTGTTTGTACACAGAAAACGGAGCGCGGCTGGAGGGAGGTGATGGTCGACATTGATCCAGAGTTGCCTTTTGGGTTGAGGTTTGTGATGGCTCCGACTCCCAGCTTGGCCTCGAGTGCTCTTGTTCAGGTCAGGTTAAAACACAAAAACAAAAAAAACAATCCGCACTGTCTCGCTTTTGAGATTTCTGTCTTCTGCCATCTCACGTAATTAAGCTGCGTGTAATAATACCTGCATGGGGTTGCCCTGGCCCTTATTTAGGGCCATGGAGGGCTGATCAGGTGGATGATACATTAGCCAAGCCATGGTTAACTGCCAAATTAACTTAATGCATTTTTACGAAAAGTGATATTCCATGCAGGCCCTTTATAATGAATTTGATTTTGTCGGGATTAACAAAAAAATGTTGCTGTGTCGTGGTGTTTTATGTACCTGATTCAGCAGTTGCATGTAATATGGAGTGAGTTGTTGAAAGCTGGGATTCAAGTATTCAGAGATCATGTGTGGGAAAATGCTGCCCTCTGTCGTTTGCAGACTTGCATTGCTCGTATTACAAAATCCAAGTACAATAGGTCTACGAGAATGTATCTAACGCTCATTAGATGAGAATATATTAATCTGTCGATGTATGACAGAATAGCAATGGAATAGTGCTGTGGTGCAGGGCTTAATTTCAGCCGGGTCTATCCAGTCCGGCAACCCTGGATAATATGCGCCCGGCACAACCACGTCCAGTATGCCTGCCGCTACGGCTGTGGCTACCAGTCACGTGCCTTCTCCAGCCGGCCAGCGATCCAGGCAACAACAATATTGAGTAAGTGAGATGTTAAGCTCCGGTGCTGGGTGCGTGGCCACAAGCAGCTGCGCGATTCTTCCGCTCGTCGGACCGCAGGCCGGGGAGGTGCGTGAGCACGTGGAAGTGTGTGCGGAGGCCGCGGTGCTCGTGACGAACCTGGCCGAGCGCGTGGCTGCACACGGCGGGGGGGCGCTCATCGCCGATTATGGACACGAGGGCACTGGCACCGACACCTTCCGGGTGAGCTCCCCCCTCTCGCCATGGGACAAAACTAGGCAAAGTGGCGCGGATCCTGCAATGCCATGGTGTTAAGATTTCACTGCTAATCTCATTGTTCCATCCCCACAGTGGTCATCCGCTCCCCGGTGCTTTATTTCCTTTGGCTGCCATTTGATTGTAACTTGTATTCATTGGCCGTCATTCAAATTGAGCGATGTGTCCTGCCCAAGCCTACTTTATTTCCGTGGCCGTCTGGAATGCTCTTCCGATATTAGGAAGCCACTGGAGCGATGCACTTTTAAATCTAGATTGAAAACTCATTTCTTTAGAACTGCTTTTTTGTGTTTAGTTTGTTGGCCTTCCACCCGCACCACCGATTAGCACGGTTGACTACGCACAGTGCGAAAGAAGTTCACCATACATACATAAAGTCAAGATGATGTGTCACTTTCTTCTTTGATTCACGTGCCCCTCTTCACTTCTCTTGGTGTAATTATAATCATATATCTCTACGATTCTTTGCACAAATTTCAGCATTGTTCCATTTTCGCATTCACATGCCATGGAGAGGCCCTCATCCAGCAGTGGATTGGAAAAGAGCTGCACGTGTATATATCGTCATGTCAAATTATACAGTAAACTGTGCACGGTTTTACCTAAACGGGGCATGCAATTTTTCTAATGCATAACCTAGGTTCATTTACAATTAGCAGTCTATGTTATTGAATAATGTGGTAAGCTTTTTAGAGTTGTCTTTCAATGGCGAGCGCAGTATAAATGCGATTTGATTCCACCATGTGCCGTGTGGGTAATGTTCCGTGTTTTTGCCTGCCATGCGTGTGCGCGCAGGGCTTCCGTGGCCACAAACCACACCACGTGCTGTGCGCCCCGGGGTTGGCTGACCTGACGGCCGACGTCGACTTTGCATACCTGCGTCGCGCGGCCGAGGGCCACGGGGTGACCTGCCTGGGGCCAATCGCCCAGCGAGATTTTCTTCAAAACATGGGCATCGACCTGCGCTTGAAGGTTAGAATTCGGACCCAGATTCGTGCTCAGACATGCTTGGGGTGGCCTATCAAGGCTCTTTGTCAGTGGTGTAGTGTGGATAGCATGAACCCTCGTGCAAGGAATTGAATGGGACTCCCTGTCCCAATTTCTCCGCCTTATTATTAACTCTGCGTCCACGGCCCATCTGTCCTGTGGGTCTCTCTGCAGTTGCACCCCCTGCACACTTCATAGCAGCTACGTCTCGCTTGCTCCTTGTTGCTACTGTTCCAAGCTAAAGATGACGTAGCATAAGATCACCGCCAATTGCAAATCTCACTTAATTTCCCGTTGCCAAATAGTTTTTTTTTATTTTTACACCTTGAATGCACACTTCATTGCCAGATCCGTGCGTGTCTGTGCTTGTCTGTGTACAGGACACCGCTCTGTAATAAAACAAATTGAATTGTTTTTCCTGGCACAGTGAACTTGGCGCATTTAGCCCTCATTAAACTGAATGACATTTGTCATTGGGATTTATTGCTTTCGTGACTGCAGGAATTAATATTTTTTCAACCTATCTACGTGACTTTACCGAAAGACCCAAAGAATATTTATGGCTTTGTAAAGTAATTATTTAAAATCACAAAGTTATGCTAATTGTAAATAAATGTGTGCTTTATTTATCCGAGTAAACATCATTAAGTCATTTTATTAACATTTTTCACGTCGGTCCTGCCGTGGGATGATTTTCCATATGGTTTTCAGGGATGTCATTAAGGTTAATTAACTGGCTTAGACTTATTGTGTCTGGTTAAAATCTCTATCAACTCAAACAACTCCTGTTACATATAGATATAAACATAAACAGACATACAAACCACAACACAAAACTTGACTGGGATTGCATATGTTATAAATTTGACCTTTCGAACAGGGCTTGATTTATCACCGATTCTTTTTTTGGGATGCTCGTAAACTGTAAAAGGTGGCACGTGACTAGTGGCGACAGCCATAGTGAGATGTTTATGCTGGATGCAGTGTGCTGCGTGCTTTCCGGTTCAGCGACCCGGACTGAAATTATTTCCTGCTTATGAATATCGTTCTCAGCCTCTTTTCGCGCTTGCCATCCATTTGAAGTGCGGGTGATGTATTCTCACAGCGTTGTCATTTACCTACAAACAAAGGGCATCCTTTTTCCCCATACATTTCCTTCCATTCTCATCCCCTTCAACTGGTTGCAGTTCGCTGGGTCTGGAAATATTTTCCAGGTCGTCGACTTGGACCGGCCCGGTTGGTATTATGCCCTGCTTCTGTGAAGAATGTTTACGGCGGCATCTTGTAGCTCTTGACATTCGAAGTGCGAGTGATGTATTGACGCAGAGTTGCGATTTAGCTACGTGCCAGCGGAACCCCTTTCACACGCTTTCCTTTCTTGCCCCGGGGCTCGCGTGCTGGAGAGCCGGCTCTCAGGAGTTGTTTGTGGTCTCCAGGGCACGGCACCTGTGGAGGTAGTGAAGATGCTCACGCAGTGCCACGCCGATGCGTGTGCCCGCCTTATCGGCTTATCGCCCTGAAAGTGTGTTTGTCAACAAGCACCGGGACTTGTTGTGACAACAGAGGAAGGAGCCAAGAAATGAAAGGAAAGAACAAAAAATCATTAAGATGCCACCTCTCGGAAAAGTGTCACATTATATTGTAAGCACTTGTGTTCGTTTCCCGAAGCTATTTAAATTATTTTAACTCAATGAAGCCGATTTTACTTGAAATCGTGTACGCAGGTAAAGTAATTCATTCTTTATGTTTATTGATCTAAAGCTAATGCGTTTGTGAAACATACAGTTTAACAGTGACTTGTGGAAATATGGGCCAAGAAAGGATATGCACACATGGAGGAATAGATATATGCACAGGAGGAAAATATTTACGTGCACACCTTCTATAAATAATTATTACAGTAATGCCCAGGTGAACCCAGGAATTTACATGAGTCTTGAGACTCCCAGGAGGGTCCTGCATGGAAATGTTTGGCCAATTCCACGAATTAGTGTTTGACATACGGTATAAAGCCGGAGTACCCAGAGAAAACCACACTCGTACGAGGAGATAACACTCGAAGCTCCACACATTTGGATTCCACCCGCTTGCTGTACTGCCATCTCTTGGTCACCTCACAGCCTCAGTGGGTTGGGAGTTTCATAAATGTGTGGGGTCCACCACCCCTCGCCCTCAAAGCGCCGGATTGCAGGTGTGTGCTTCACCCCCACACTGGGCTCTCCTCTCGTGCTTATCATGAAGACCAGTTTTCATATTGCACTTAGCTATTGAATTTCTTAATGCGAGGTATTCACCAGCACAAAGCATGCCCACAATGGTGGAGCTGAGAGCTTCCCTACTCCGGCATCTCATATTCTCCCTCCGTCTCTCCGAGCCGAACACACATTCTGACATGGCAAAAGGGCCTCGGAATGCTCGTTCGGAAAGCAGCTCAGCTTACAGCGTGGCCTCATCAGTGGACCCGATGGGAACAATGCAACGAAGAGCTTATGGATCATTAATATTTGTGCCGGTCGATGCTGTTATAGGATAGAGGCTGGAATTTACATCAAGTTTCAATTGGTCTGTGTGAGTGTGTGAGTGATCACAGCCTGAGAGACTCTACATTTATAATACAGATGTTAATGATTTGTTTCCCACCACCCCCCACTTGCGATTCAGTGAATTTCCAAGATTCAGGGATGCATATTTTCAAATGAAGGATCGATCGTTGTATCGGTTGTGACACCTTTCCCATTGTTTTATAGATTGCGTTCTCGGTATCATTTCACGAAGCGAACAATCCTAAAAGGAACTCTTGCAGGGCAGTGCAAGCACCCATGTTCGAGAATGTTCAGCGGAGGTGGATATCACAGGACTACTTCCGAGATATCATCAAGCGATTTCTTATCCAAACGAGGGGGCAGCCACTTTCCCACCTGCCCTGCTTACAAAGTAGTGTTCATCGCATTGCAGTCAAACTGAAATTTTTTAAATTACATACCTTGAATTTACACAAATTAACTGCAGAGCAATATAAAATGTGGTGGGTTTTTTGCGTGCGGTCTGGTGACTGGGCAAAGACGAACTCACTACACTGGAAAACCCAGTTCATCACGGGTAGTTGCCCGGAATCTAACCCAGGATTTCAGTGGTGCCAACATTGCCACGGTAATATGGAAGTTCTCTCGGGCTCGCCCAAGGCTTGGTACTGTAAACAAATGCCCCTCCAACTCGTTTGTGCGGCAGACTTTTTAAATTATGCATATTTCACTCAACCCTCACAAACTTTGCACGTGATATTTTTGTGTCACCAGTAGCTGAAAAAGGGGGGTGATGTCTGTGCAGGGTCAAGTGGGGACATGTCGTCCATTGGTTCCTATGTCCAGAGGCAGCCTGGAAATGAGGGCTCTAGCCCGTGGCACACATTCTTGAACTCTCATAAACCCTCGTTCCAACTTTAGCACATCCTCGTTATTTTTTCATGTCAATTTTTGTTTTCTTACAAATGTCATTCTTCACATTGGCCAATATTGTGTAACAATACTGGGTATCATTAAGGCACAACAAAAGGTTGTTTGGCAGACACTAACATTGCAATATTTATTGTGTAGAATTGAAACATTAAATATTAAATCTTCTGTGATGTCATTGCAATGCATCAGTGATGTCATGGAAGGTGCTCACCTTTTAAACAAATGGTTGAACATTGGGGGTGGCCATACAACAATTTACCCTGCCCCTCCCATCCCCTGCACTCCCCCAATCCCCCCACAGTAGTTTGATCAATTGTCCTGATTGTTCGCTGCATTGACTTTACCGTGTAATTAGCATATAACTTGCATATTTCGATCGCAACACAAGTGTGCGTCTTCCTGATGACGACCGCTTGTGTTGCGATCGAAACGTCGTAGTTTTTTGTTATTTTCTTTGAACCTATCTACGTGACTTTACTGAAAGACCCACATAATTTGAATTCCTCCAGTCACGAAAGCTTTAAGTCAAGCTTTAACTTGCATATACTTTGCATAAGTCATGAGATGTAATTTTTCATGCGCTCAAATGTGGTGCACGAGCAAAATAATTGATATTACTTCAGCAATCGATGCATTGTTACTTATCTACTCAGGGTTCGCGATCTTCTCAGTTTTGAAAAACCTCCATAGACAGCACCGGGTGGTCTCTGCTTTCTTTTCAAACTCAGATTCTGCTGCGAAACGCGGGTGACGCCGACACTCGCCGGCGATTGCTGGCCGGCTACGAGATGCTGATGAGCCCAGAGAAGATGGGCATGCGATTCAAGTTCTTCTCCTTAGTTCCGAGTGCACGATTGTCACCCGGCCCGACTCGGGAACCTACAAAGAGCCCAGCGCCACCACCCGTGCCAGGTTTCAGTGAACTCGTCATGAAATGACCTACAAAAGTCCTGTTTGCATTTGCACATCTTCTGTAACTCTACCGTGTTTTACAACTCGCCCACCACTGGATGGAGGCCTCCGTATGCCTTTCACTTATGGAGGTTTGGCACTTATTCGTAGCTGGGCGGTGGTGGTGTATGTCTGTAATCCTAGACTGTAGAGGTGAGTGTTCGTGGATCACACAAACGTTGTGAAACTCCCTTGTGGTCTCCCACATATTTAAATCTGGACCCCACCTATTCAGGCTGTAAGGGATAGCGTGTTGCCACCTTACATCCGGTTGCTCTGGTTTTCTCCCACATGTAAAGACTGATTAATTAACTGAAAAAATGTAACATATGGAGAACCGCAGAGCTCGGGCAATTGTTGGCACTGGCTGGGCACGTGGCTGCCTTACTCATCACTGATATTAGGCATGGCTGGGAATCAAACTCGGGTCGCCGAGTAAATAGCGTAACGCGCGAATGACTGCACCACCACTTGACTCAGACTTCCATTTATGTGAACCCATCAAATAGAGTACAACTATAACATTCTAAAATGTACAATGCAAATGTAAAGGAGTGGAAGGTCACTTCCAAAGATTATCATAAGTTGCACTGCTCTGTTATTTATTTGGGTGTTTGATAACGAGAACACAAAAAACCCACTTTTAAAACCACTCGCCAACTGACGTGTTCTTCTGATTTGTTCAAACGCAGTGGGTTTTAAGTTTCAAGCAGCGCACAATCATGTGTCCAAAGCACAAGCCTCTGTGCATTTGGCAGAAATATTCAGCATTTCTAGAAGAAGTGCATTGTGGTCCTCTTGCCTTAGGTCACCATGGAAATAAATTTGAGTAAATGTGACCGACTGCAAGGCAGCAGTGAACAGAGTTGGACCACTTTGGACCTGGTTACCTCCATACGACTGTTCGGGGAAGTCTGTGTTCCAACCTGTGCTCTTATTCTCTTATATGATGGGATTTTCTCATCATGTACAGATTTGATTCATGTCACACTTGCATAACTTTTACCGAGGCCTCCGTTTCACGTAACTTGCAGCCTCAAAATTTTAAACGTGAACTCTGGAGAAACGTAAGAAATAAACGAGTAACAATAAATACTGATCGTGTTTGTTTATGTGTTTGGTAGAAGAGGACTTGGATAGAGATATTGATTAAATTGAAGCTGGAATTGGCATGGACTTCATTCCTAAATTGGCAGCAACACAGGCAACAAAATACAGCTTAGTCTAATCTGTTTAAACTGCAAAGAGCTCATTATTATAATTCTATACAACTTGTGCTATATATCGGTTGTTGTGCTTCTGGTACAACTGCATGTCAATTCAATGTGATTACAACAATGGTATCGGGAAAACGTACACAATTCAGGGCCAGTCTTTGTTGTACATGATGTTTGAAATGTAATTCTTTGACTTTTTAGACAGTTGTGTACATGCATGTGACTACGTCACGTGGCGAGGTTGGAATTGTTTACAGAGAACCTACGGGTACAATCCTGATGTTAGGCCCAACGTATTGCCATGTGTAGATAAACGCCACGGCGATAATCGTTAATTTAAAAAATTCCTGAGTACATTGAGTTCTTGTGGATGCCTGCCTGGATAACCATTCTATGTTACTCTATCACACCACTTTTTGTGAGGGGTGTCAACGGTTTACCCTCCCTCCCAGCAACATGGGGAATTGTCGCAGTTCAACGTCATAATTTGATGGACGAATTCAATGTTTTGCTTTCTCGCTTGTTTTGGTCCTCATTTCGTTTTGTCTCGTGTGTTCATGTCGCTTTCATGAGCCCATTTGTAGCGGCAGGACATCCGCACACAATTTTCAAGTATCGTAAACGATCAATTCTTGCGCGCGCGATTTGATGCCGTGTACCGTGAGCCTTCACGAACCGCGTTGACCCTGCAATGGGAAAGCATGGTAATACAATCCCCATGGCCAGCACGGCATGGGGAGGGAGCCCGATATACAGCCCCGAATTGACGAAGCTTTGAAAAAAATTGCGAGCCTTAAGAACTGATATCATTTGACGAATCCACGCATCACCACGCCCTCTGCTTTACACTGATCAGTGTAACAACCATTCACCAAGTTATCCTGCAGGTGGCACCAAGCCAAAGCCCTTTCTGTAGGGAGAAAATGTCAAAAGCACATTCAGCCTTGATTTGCAATGGCACTGCAAGCTTTATTATTTTTCTTACTGGCATCTCACACATGAGTTTCAAATGGCAGTATCCAGTTCAGCAGAGGTATGTTGTTAAACAAGCATCGTAATTAATCTCAACAGTGGTATTGCATGATTTTCTTATAAGTGTAACAAATAAGAAAAAACAGGAACAACTTAGCAAAGTCAAAACCTGTAGTTCGGATGCATCTTGTCCCACTCACCGATGTTGAATAGCATGACCCACTTTCAAACATATTGCTTGCTTATCACAGTGGTCTTGCTGTGAGTGTGCAATGTTTAGAAAGTAGGGCAGCCATGATCAATACAGGTGAAATCGTTAATCTCAACAGGTGTTGCATTATCGTGTGAAAAGTTAAAAAGACAGCACGCGAATCGCCGTTCGTGAAGTCAAAGCCCGTTTTAAGTGGCAGCTTGTCCAATCCAACTCGTCGATGCTCAATAACGATGACCTAGTTTTGAAACGTATTTCTAGATTTTAAATGTGTGTTGCTGCACAACAGTGGGTAATTCTAAGAAGAGGGACATCTGTGAGCAATCATCCAGAAGTTAAATGGTGTTGCCGTGGAGATTCGTGTTTGGTATCGGACACGTTCAAGATTATGGACCACACACTCAATTATTTAAAATTCATTAAAGACAGACACGTAATTGAGATTTTTTTCGATAGATTATTTTTAATGTATTTTAAGTTCAAATGTGGAATGCTTTCATCTCTGTCCAAATTAATGCATTGGTCGTTAAACTCTGTCCGTGTCTTCAGATCCAATTTCTGTGGTTCCATTGTAACACAGGCGTGCACTGTCAGACTGAAACAACCTCTCTCGTGATCCAATATATTATTGCGATTCTGGGTCACGTGTTTTATCCAAGACATGCTTCATTTTTGTCAATGTTGTGATCGTTAATGGTTGGAAAGTATCACGTGAACCTATTACACGTGGCATTAATCATAATCATTGTTTTTCACACAATCAATTTGATGCATGTATCGTACATGTAAGCACTGATTCAATAATAATTGTATTGTGAATTATTGGCTTGTGTGTGAAAAAACAAAACATGGAAATTGGTGTGTAAATTATTTGGTCATGCTGCGTTGCCATTGTGGTACACAAACCTGAATAAAAGCAACAACAAAAAACTCAACACATTCGTTAATAACACTGTGGCCTTCAAATGAAAGATGTCGGTGACATTTCAGGAAATAGTTCTTCATATAACATAAAATAATTTAACCATACGATGTTTTAAAAAAAGTTTTGCTGGCTGGCTGGCTGGCTTCCTGGATGGCTGGCGCGTTGAGCCGGGTTCGTGCGTCGCGCTGATGTCACACATCATTCCCTCCACCCCAGCCGTGGTTCTCGGGCCACTGCCCGATAAGTTGACTTATATTTAATTTAAAGGCAGTATTGTTGACGATTGTGTTGAGTTTTTGTTGACATGAGAATTAGGTTCTCGGTGGTTGTTGCGTCACAGGTGGTGGCGGCTTGGGGAGGCTTTCATCCAGCAGTGGATTGACCATGGCCGATGATCATGATGGGCACGAGAATCAGATGTGGGATCAATTTGTAACCACTAGGCTCAGTGCATGTTTTAGAATGGTGGAACAGCTATTGTGTTTTTTTAACTGTCACCTTCGTAAATATCAGATATTTGTCATGTTTAAAAGAAAATGTGTTTGTTGTTTTCAAGTTTATACGTTGCGCCGTTTGTTTATAGCTTTGACTCTTGCATTATTTTGACAACAGATATGCTGCGGCATAAATGCAGAGGGTAAATCTTGATAGCTATGAAATATAATATTAAAAATAGAGCAAAAGCCTTAACGTTCGTATAACTACATTCTAGAAAACTGCAAGGTTGACATTGCAAGTTTATATTTAAAAAAATATTAAAAGGATACCTGATTATTTCATCTGCAGTACCCCAATAGTGGCATGAATTGCCAGATACAAAATTTATTTCTTCTGTGTAAACTGATAAGAATATATCTAAAATCCTGACAATCGTTATCTCACTTAAAATTGATCTTTTCAGCCTTCCTGATATCGTTATATATATAAAAACACTTTCATAGGACAATAAATATAACAATGGCAGTTGTCAAATAACATACGAGAACAACGCCCTTCACTTACCCAGGGAACAAACTCGACTGAGTCTCAAGACGGTCCTCTTTGGGATGTTTGACCAATTCTGCTTTTCGAATTTTTAGTTTTTGAAAGAAAACCAGAGCACGTACCCAACAAGAAATAACAACGCACGCATAAAAGGGGTCATCATCACTCAAACCTGCCATTGATTTAGAGGTCACCAACTCACAGGTCTCCCTCGCTATACGCGGGTTCAGTTTGTGCAATTTCGCGTATATGCGGATAACCTATTTCTACCAATTATGTACGGATGTTTGATTTATTCATGATTATTGTTATTCTTGAAGCCAATGAACATGAGTCACAGAGGGGATACATTCCGCGTGTCCACAACAATCCTTGGTCCAGCCGCAACGTCCGAGTAATCCTCCCCGCAAATGGGAGCCGATTAAAGTTACCCGGCTTCGCTTCACGACGCGACAACGGTAGAGGGATAATGGTCAGGAGCAGTCGGTTAACCAGGGAAACGCGTGCATGTAACCAACCGTGCTATACTCTTAGTTCTTTCGGTAAAGTCACGTAGGTAAAAAATGAAATTAAAATTAATAAAAACAATAAAATCACGACGTTTCGGAGGCAACACAAGCTTCCGTCCGAAACGTCGTGATTTTATTGTTTTTATTTTTTATTAATTTTAATTTTATTTTTTACCTACGTGACTTTACCGAAAGAACTAAGAGAATGAATCCTTGCAGTCACGAAAGCTTCAAATCTAGAACCAACCGTGCTAATCGGAGTTGTGGGGAACCCGTATTCAGCTATAAACTTGGATGTGGCACAACACTGTGTATTGTGCTGTGTGTGCTTCTCGGCAGGCAGCTGTGTCGTGCAGTTTTGCTTTGTGCGCCCCTCTTTTTTTTAACGCATCCACCGCATAGAGCGAGGGGAACCTGTACTTTGATTTAGCGCCTTCCACAGGCCACCTTAAAGCCCTGTCGGCAGTCTCACACTGAACCACAGGTCTGTGCTGCCACCATGCTCGGCAAAAGGCACATTCAGGTGGCTTTCCAACGAAAATAAAAAATGATTCACTGGATGAAATAACTCCACATTATTAATACTGTACTCGTTCAAGGGCACCAATTTCCCAAGGACGCCCTGGAACTTAACTATAAACCAAAACAATGTTTTATTTTAGCAGGTAAGGCCCACTGAGCTTATATAGCTCTCTTTCAGAAGCGACCTGTCCAAAAAAGATAGTTCAGCGAAGTGGCTTTACGTCATGTGGAGATTTATAGCGGCCAGATCCTCTAAATCAGCGGTTCTTAACCTTTACTGCAGCCTTTCACCCCTTTGGTTCTCAATCGTAAAAAAAAAAAACATGTTAATAAATACATAGAGGGTTTGGTGAAACAAAGTAGTTATACTTCCATGCCCGTGCTTAATTTGGGTTTCAATTATTTAACTTCTGAAACAATCTGGCATGTCTCGCACCCCCAGAAAGGGCATCACGCACCCCCCAAGGCATGCGTGCAACCCCAGGTTAAGAAGAACCACTGCTCTAAACGCGCGTTGATTCTAAATGTGGAGGGAAACGCCGGAGGACCTGGAGAAAATCCACGCGACCACGGGGAGAGAGAACACGCAAACTCCCAATATACAGCAGCAGGCGTCAGGGTCGGGATCGAACCCACGACCTCCTGTATACCAGGCGAGGGAGTTAACATCTCGTCCGGGCTGTCCCAGCTGGGCCCTGGCTGTTTGGTCCCGGGCTGTGCCAACTGCGTTGCTCTCTCTTTGTTTCCCTGCACCGATCCCCTCGTCATCCACCCACCCCTCTTCGACCTTAATGCGGTTTGATGAACAACAAAAATGCGTCAAGCATCTCTAAATCCAATTGCTTTTGGATCCTGAATTAATTTAAATTGTTGTTGTACTCGTGTCAAAGCCAGGCAAGTGGCACTGTTGGTCAGAAGAGCGCTTGAATCGCAATCAGAAAGTCGGGAGTTCAATTCCTGGTGAGGGGCCGATTCGGTCCCTACTTTGTGAGAAGTTCAGTGGAAATGCTGGGAGACTAACCCCTGCCATGGGAATGTGGAATTTACACTGGAGGCTGAAGGTTGCTGTTGCCAAAGGCCATCCAAAGCTCGTTAGTGCAGGTTGACTTAACTTTCTTTAAAATTGGATGATTCGCCCGCAATGCTGACGATCTTTCAGATCTCAGAAGCTAAGCAGGTTTGAGCCTGTATAGCGCTTGGATGGGCGACCACCATGCATCAAACAAGAGTTAATAGGCTGCGTCAGCAGAAGGCAGTGCAGAAATATCCATTGTGTTGTGCAATGCTGCAACGCCTATGCACCCGACCTTCACAAACTCTCACGGACCAGCTTGAGATACGGTCAGAGAACCCCACGACCCGGAGGCCCTCATCGGCGGAGGCCCTCATCCCTCAACGGACTGATACAAGAGCTGTACGTGAACACAATTCACCAACACTAACATCTCACCAACCACAGCCTCTTATCAAACAGCCACTTTAGCAATGTCCTCAAACGGGGCATGAGAAGGCATTGAAAGGGATGACCAAAGAAAAAATACTCTCCTCGGCTGTGCACCTTGAGCCACGGGGACATATTTGACCAGCACGGTGAAGTCCGGTCAAACACCCCCCCAACAACCCACACGGCGTTAAGAAGTCCGACCACCCAGCAGCAGTGGATTGACACGTGTGCTCGCACATGAAACACAATCACAGGCTGTTGACGCGCTTGCTCAGACACTTCACGATGTCCGAGTCGCTTGAGATATCTGCGAGCCGGCGGTAGCAGTCGCCGCCGCCGCCGCCGTCGGGAAGGAAGCGACCGTTTTCTGCGAGGGCCGCTCTCTCCGCGGAGACGGCACAGCTCCAGCGGGCGGCCGAGTGGTCGAGGCTGTCGCGGAGGTGCACGGGGAAGGGCAGGTCGCGGTCACGCGCGTACTCCTGCCAGCGCGCGTCGTCGCTCTCGTGCGTGATGTAGCGCTCGCCCAGACGCAGCTCGAGCTCGCGAAGCTGCAGCCACGTGGGGTAGTCCTGCCGGCGAGACCGGGCGAGGCGGGGGCGGGAGGGCCTTTACGCAAAGGTCAAGAGGGGTCAAGATTCTAGAACCGCTGTTTGTGTTTAGTTTGTGGTCCCCCCCCCCCCCACGCACCTCCGATTAGCACGGTTGGTGACGTATAGTGCGTAAGAAGATCAACATACAGTACAACATACAGGCTAAATTTCGATTTTAAGCTTTCGTGACTGCAGGGATTCATATTCTTGGTTCTTTCGGTAAAGTCACGTAGAAGGGAAATAATAAAATAATAAAAATATAAAATTCTCACGACGTTTCGATTGCAACACAAGCAATCATCATCAGGTGTGAAAACCACGCCTGATGATGATTTTATTATTTCCCTTCTACGTGACTTTACCGAAAGAGCCAAGAATATAACATACAGGCTGTTGGGGAAAGGGCTGTTAGCAAGCAGCAATAGTGTACGAGGGGCGGTGTGAGCGGTGCCACGCCCCGCCACCTTTGTCTCCCAACTACCGGTGTTTACACACCGCAACCAGGTACTCATTTACGGCCGACTTGATCCAAGAGAGGCCCGAGACCAGTTTAGATAATCACCACTGATGTTAGGCGTGGCCAGGATTTTAACTCGGGCCGCTTGGTTCATAGCGCCGTGACCTAATCACTCCACTTCCACTCCCCATATAATTTACATACAACACCAGCCGCCAAGTTTTGGTAATGTCACCCAAGGCCATAGCCATGGAGTCAACATTGAAAACGAATTTCCTGCCATTTCCTGCCTAAAATATTAAAAAATTAACTAACACATAGGATGGACTTTTTTTTATTATTTTTTACGATAATGTCTAATAGTGCATTGTATTACATTGCTGGTTTTTTTACTTTTTCTTGTTTCATTGTATGTAATGGCAGAGATTAGGGATTTATAAAGTACAACCATAACCACAGTCATATAAACAAATCTATTTCCTAGCAATATATTGGGGGGGGGGGGGGGACATTTTGAGCATATTTGAATATTGGGGGGGGGGGGGAGGGAGGATGCCCCCCCCCCAATATATATTATAATTACGGCCTTAATGTCACCATAGCACTTGTGCCTTCCGAGGTTCCATTCAGGGTGACGTCCCACTGCGGGCTCTGTACCTGTAACCACGGGTGACTCAGCGACTTGTCCACACTGAACCGCTGCCTCATCTTCACCTGAAGCAGGTTACCAATTAAGTCGATGGCTGTAACAGAGGAGCAGCAGCAGCAGCAACAGGAGCAGAAGCAACGCAGAAAAGGTGTAAAAGTCAATCGTGAATATTCACGTACGCGTGACGGGAACAATATAAATCATCAACTGCATGGCGGCCGATAAATGCTACCACCATGCATGGGTTAGCGGTTGGGTTGACTACGGAGTGGCAGCCAAAGGAGGGAATGCCTCCAAGAGTCCATCCACCCAGCAGAGGAGACCAGCTTGTGTGTAGGCCCAGGGTCGGTTGTTGACATTGCAGGCCCGTGAGAGATGCAAATGGCTTCCGGAGGCCTTCAACATTCGGTTGGTTTGGGCCGACGCCGACTTAGTATGGTAGTAAATGTTACATTTTACAACAAGTGGCTTCCCAGCAAAGCGATATCAGCTGATGGAGCTCATTTTAATGATCGTAGATTAATGGGAAACTACACTCCACAATGGTCTGGATTCAAACCAATTGCCCTTGTGATTGGAAGCCCTATTGTTTTGCCAACAGCGCCACGTTAATGCATACTGCATGCAAATCCAGGAGATTCATATGTGCACATGCACGGTTTGTGGACATTAAAGTTGCCTGGGTGCTCACGGTCATTACCATTGTATGCGTAACTGCGTTGTGCATTCTACGCTGAGTGCTTACAGACGTGGCTCTGAAATGAAACGGGCTCCGCAGGAGGTTGCTGTAGATTTCCGTCGTCATTTTCTGACCACTTCTAGTAGCCTATACATTGTGTCTGACCAAAAAAAAAGTTTGAATCACCGTTGATAATTTGACCGACCGCAGATGGGTTGAAATTGTTTACGAAAATTGGAAGCATTCGGGCGACGGATTGAAGCTGCCGGCACATTCCGCGCGCCGCTCAGCGCGAATTGCACCGAACGCGAGCGGTAAAGAGCGCGCGTTTCTCGCGAGTGGGACACGCGCCGTGCGATTCCACAGTTTTAGCAACTTTCTTTTTTCACGAGGACCAATTGCTGGCGGAATTGCAGAGTCGCATATATCCGAGCCAATCAGGGGAGCATTTAGCCGAGTTTTTGTTTTGTTCGTGATATTTTGTGGCGAGAGCGAGAGAGTCAGGTTTGGATTGTGGAGGGAGGTGGGGGGGGTTGTGGGGGATGGAGCGCATCGGCTGATGGAGCGTCGAACGGCTGGGCTAATGAGATCTGCAAATTCGACTCGAAGAAAGTGAAGTGCACTTAGGTTGCCGTGCGACGACTGTGATTGTGAGCACCTGGCATGCAGGTCTGGGTGTCCCCCCCTACCACCACCGTCCCCCCCTCCCATCACCACCCACCACCC